GGTACGAGTGCGCATACTTTATTTATTTGTACTCGTAAGTACTGCGAGACTACCACTCTTATACCTAAATTTAATATTTTAAATACCACTTCACATGATATGTACATATTATTATGTTCTCGTGTTTTCAATACCCGGATAATGAAATAAAATACAATATTAAAGTTAAAAGTTGTCACTTAGAACACACGCTGTACATTGCATTTAATGTTCAGTTGTAGAGTAAGTAGACCGCGAGACGAGATGAGAATGACATTTCCAAATGTTCTTCGCTGTGTGCCCTTGTGTGCTCTCTGTAAATGGTGCAGCTTTTTGGAAAAACAAACTTTGGTCCCAGCTCTTTTCCTTGTTCTATAGTTCAGGTTGTCATTTATACTTGCTAAGTAGGCTGCTTTGTCAGGCGTCCAGTGAGTTGAACTGAGTTGCGCAGGACTTGTGCATTTTTTCTGGATTAATATCCTTTGTCCGTTACCGTTTTTTATACACATGTAGGCGTGTATGCAGAATAGATTGCAAGTTGGACTGGTCGAGTAGGTTGTTAGACACGACAGTATAACAAAAATAAACAAAAACTCACTTTTGCAATTTAATATTAGTGTTCATTGAGATGAAAAATACTAATTTATGCGAATGATTCTAAAAATACATAACAATATAAATAAATGGGCGCAGACGCCACTACTGGCAATAATTAACATAATAATATATAGTTTAGTTTATTCTATGTTAATATTAATTTATTATTAGCAAGATGAAACTGTTATTCTACCATATTTAACAATTAGCAGACATTGTTTTGATGTGTTCAGAATACCTATGTTTAATGTTTTATTTTATTTTGTTTAAAAACACAAATGACTGTGTAAATAATTAAATATGAATAAAGCATAAATATGAATAATAATTTATATTATAATTAACAGCAATAATTTAATTAAGTATTGTAATTGTTATGCAATGATGTTGTTGGCGCCATCTATTGTTAGGCTGGATAATAACGTGGACGGCGCGTGCGAGAGGCCGCCGCTCAGCCCTCGTAGGGACTATCGAGTGCCGGGTGCGGGGGCGCTCGGCACTCGACTGTTGGTCCGGTGGTGAAGCGGTGCAAGGTGGCTCCTGTGCGCCGCTCACGGTGTGTCTCCCGAGACGAGGTTCTACGGGATTTTCCCGGGGATGAAATCCCGTCTTAACATTAGTACGGGTACCGCCTAAGGCGAGACTTTCGGCGCGCATCGCGGTACCGTAAGTTTCGTGTAGTCGGTGTGGTGGAGCTCGATGGGGTTTAGTCGGTAGTCGTTCTGCGGGGCAAGTGCTTCGCGCGCCTTTTTCAAGGCGTAGTCTCCTGTGAGAAATTGGGGGAGGTGAAGGACCTCGGCCCTTCTCATCTCCTCTTCTTCCTTTCAGGAGGCGCCGGAGTCCGACATAACCCGGTCCGTTACCCCCCTCGATCGGGTATCCGTAAATGGATTCCCCAGCGTTAAAAAAAAAAAAAAAAAAAGGCTGGATAATAACAATGTTAGTTATTATTACTTAAAAGTAATTCATGTAAAATAAATTAAATGTCAGTCATGTAAAAATCACTAAAATATGTATTGTGAATATTAAGCTATATTTTGTGAATTATTTCGCAGTAATTACATTTGTTTGTATAAAAGAAGTTGTAGTTGCTATAACCATCACAAAATATCTAATTTTGTAAGAACTAAGACGTAGGTTTTTGTAATAAAATAGTAATGTTAAAGTTTTATAGAATTGTATTGTATTTTGATTTTAAAAGAACTTATGTGTGTAAACCCTGGCTTAACGCCGACATATACCTACGTAAGTATTCAATACACATTCAAGAGATAAGGTAAGCATATGTGTGTATTATTACATTGAGAAGAAGTTGTCCTTGAGACGGATTAAAATGAGTGAGCCAGACGAGCGCCTGAGCGCCCTCTGTCGTCCCACACGGGAATGTACACATACACATTTTGAGAGTTTAGCTTATAAAAATTGTAGTGCAAATATTTCAGAGTGAATATCGTCACTGGAATGTGGAAATGAAAATGTGCAGTCCTCAGTGATCTGCAGCTGGGTGTGGAGGTCTTCCGTCACTGCCTCTCGCGCGCTAATCTCAAATCGCTACTCTCTTATAAACGGCCGGTATAAGTGGTACCGGCACACACCCTACCCCCCTATTAACTTCCCCTTACACCCTTCTGTACTAGTAAGTACTAGTAAGTTAAAGACGCTTATTTTCGCTATTTAGTTTCCTGTGATCAGTGTGTACCACATGCGGTGGCCGTGGGAAACCACGCTTATAAATAGTTCTCGTTTCACTCGAGCTCACCCCGGAGGGCAAATGTAACCGAGATGGTGATGGAGGCCCCCCACGAGCGTGGCACTCCCGCGCCGTGTCACAGCTCCGCGGATCCCGAACACACGTTTTAGTTTACAGCGAGGTCGAGCGGAAAGCTTCCCTGCCGCCCCCCCCCCCCACAGCTACTGAAGTCAAAGAAACAATCGAAAACCCCATGATCTGCAAGCGTCGTTAGTCAATCGTCCCTTGACAACAAGGGGACACTCGACAAAACCTGCACACGTTCCGTGACCTACGCAAGTGTAGTGTTCGCTCACGCGGCCCCTATACACACGAACTCTCTCCAGCTCATCCAATCCCGTTTCTGCAGGATAGCCGTCGGAGCACCATAGTATATGTGAGGAGTATAGTTCTTCACGACGACCTAAATCTAGAACCGATTCGTATGTCAGTATCTTAGAGAAGCGTCACAAAGCTACATACTTTGAAAAAACAGTGCGGCACGATAGCCCTCTTATCCTGGTCACCTTCGATCAGCAATAATTGCAATAAAAGCAATAATTGATCCGGTCGTCCGGAACCACTCTCGGTGCTTTTAGCACTGAAGTATGAAACCTATGGAAATGAAACGTCAACAAAAATTCATGCCACTGTGATGTCATTTGGCCACAAAACATGGCGGTTTTAGTGCTGCCCTGAAGATTTTAATGTTAGTAGGTTTTATCGATAAACGTTCTTGGCTCATTTTATTTTAAATATTGTTGAGTATGAATGTATTTGTAGAATTTATACTTTAATAGGAAGTAAGTATATTGTTATGTGCGAAGATGATGTGATTTAGATATTATGTGAAATCTAAGACGAGTTCGTGCTTCAAATTTGCCAAGTAAACGATATGACGATTTTTAAAATTTGCTACACTGATTTTATAAAGTTGTAGTTTGCCGCAAAACATAAAAATATGGCGTAGTACAGTGCCATCTGCCTATTTCTAGCATGCTAAATGTTATCGTATTTTGAGTACGTGCTTTTCTTAGACTATTACAATCTATTTTAATTGTTTTGCTGACTCTAAAGTCCGTAACACAATACCGCAGCGCACCTCAAGGAAGGTGCGCCGCACCATTTTTAAACTTATCAAGGGACCGCGTGATAAAAAAAACACCTACAGAACATTTATTCATTAATAACAAACGTCATTCCTTATGACTTCCTCTCTAAAATCACTTAATTATTAAATATTTAACGAATTTACAATAGTGTTTTACTCACTACGGAATAAAACTATTTTATTTACCTAAATAGTTCCGAAAAGATTTTGTCGGTAGCCTTTTTCCCGAAATATCTAAACAGAATGTCTAAATATTTTTTGATGACATATTTTATTAAGAGGTATTTATGATTAGCGTCATGATCAATAGATTCCGACCGAAAAATGGTGTCCGATTTTTCGGATAAGGGCTTCATAATGAATTAAAGATAATAGTTTTGGGGCATCGACTTTCTTGAGATCCTATAAAATATGTTTTAATTATTATTCTTGTATGTTTTAAGCATGATAAAATAAGAAATTTTATATAAACAATCATATTAAATCGATATCAAAGTCAATAAATAACGTACAACCCAAAACAGACGGCCGAACTGACGTGACAATGACATTTGGTGCGCTCAACATGGCGGATTTTCGGCCTCATTAGACATTTACATATATTCATGTTTCATTTTATGTACGCACTGAAATACTGTTATATTGTTTTCCTGCGAGCTAAAGTGCTGAGTAAGAACGAGATAGATATATGTCTATGTGTGGGCCTTCAAAATGGGTGCTATTTATATAAGCAACTGTACGTATAGAACAATATGTCGTGTCCCTACTATATACTTAGGTCTATGGTTTTTAGGCGCTTCAAGCACCGGTCACCGTCCTCGTCGAACTACTCGACCCCGACGAATAGTTAGACGTGCGAACAAGCCCATAGACAACCCACTGAGTTTCTCGCCGGATCTTCTTAGTTGGTTTTTGCTAAGGCTAGTGTTAGCAACTCTCAGGTCGAGCCCGTGAGCTCACCTACCGGTCCGCGCGAAGCTGAGCTATGTACATTCAACGTGCTAGTGTGAGGGCTGATAGTTGCATTGCGAAACCATAAACTTGTTCGCTTTCTAATAGCGCTCGTTGTTACATGAAATGTACATTATATAGGAGCCTCAATGTCTCAAGCACGACGGAAATCTCGTCTTGCACTTTGCCCAACGATTACTGCCCTCTGCATTTTTTTAAACAAACTGTTACAAGTTTTCAAATGTACTAAAACATTCGCAACAAGTACGAGTACATCAGAATGCGATCTGAAATAGCTTTCTGTGAGCGTCAACAGAGGGCGCTGACATAAACAAAGCAACGAGACCGGACGAGCCAAGCCACAGTGCGACTCGCAGCAGGCTCCAGACGCGTGGATCGGAGCCCTGCCGCGCGTGCCATGCCTTCTCGGTCTCAGGCGGTTCCGTAACTCAGACAAACGATAGATCACTTGTTAGAGCTTTGTTCCCGTATTTATCACAACTTTAGCATACATTTTGTATAATCCTGTTATCTCAGGGCTTCGAAGAGGCAACATGGATTCCTCTCATGGGGAAGTATTCGTTCAGGAGCCTCGTGATTGCTGAAGCAGATCGATGCAGAAGAAACGTTCACTCTAAACAACAGATGGCTGTAGTCGGAGCGCACGTGTCGGCTCGTGACCACTTACAGTAGGCTCACTGCTGGAATCAGGGCGAGAATGTAATGTTTTTGATGTTTAGAGTTTACAATTGATCTCGACACAGCTTACGAGACAGATTTCGCTCATCTACGATCAACTCAATAGTAACAGCAGTGCCATCTGCACACCGATGCAACATAATATGCACAGGTATATGTGTGTTAGTCTAGAAATAATATGTTAACAAAAACAAGAAACCGTCTGTGATCTCGGAAGTAAACCTTATTATCTAGTATCTACTCTAACCTTGATATGAGTATTTGCACTTGAATGAAATAGAACACACACTTTCTGTATTTCCAGTTGTTTCTTTTGTCCAGGCTAATGCCCGAAGCAGCTCAATTGATTTTAAGAAGTCTATTGGAAAATAGAGAAGCTCTGCTGTTATATATTATATTAAGAGACTGGCTACTATTTATACGAGTATACATATATTATTATATTATCTAACATGCAACGACTTCAAGCAGTCGGCTCGCCCGCCAGCCTCGTCTTCGCTAAGCAAATAATTTGTTTACAAGCATTCGAGTTATGATCTAAATAAAATCACAATTTTTATGTCATTTATCATTTTTATTTTATGATGAATAAAGATTTATTGTTTTACTGTAGGTACTCAACATATCGCCTTGTATCGTCCCCAGGGGAAGTCATAGCGGCGAGCAGCGAGCACCTCTTCATTCAATCATCATTCATTCCTTGTCGTTCAACAACTCGTTACACAGAAATCGTATGTATACATATTGTCACCGCGATACCAGTAGATTCACTCGGATTTACCTTGGTAAACAAAAATGGCTTTCTGGGGCCTGTGCAAATCATCGCGTTCAATGTGTTCACCAAAACGTCGGTAACACATGTTCCGAGCACCATTGAGACGCACACGCATCCACACATGTTAAGAAAGTTAGAAAGAAGCTAGTTTTCCTATGTGGCTGAACATGGGAAAACCGTCAGAGCGACAGAGGTAGACAGGACGGCGGCACTCACCCGGTCATATCCCGCGGCAGCCGGCAGAACTGAAGTCGCGGGCAAGAGGTTCTACCAACCAGTATGAGAGCCCTACGATATGGTAAAATTCCTTCACATATTTTTCGTAGTGAATCCCCTAATTCTTATTTAAGGTACTAGTGGTATTGCAAGACCACGAGTGCGAGTACTGCCTATTCCTGCGAAGAGGCAATCAAGCGTTCCGGCTTAAAGGGAATGACTCATAAAACAGCTGTTGTTTGCACGCATTTGAAAATTCGATCTGATTCCGTCGCAAGGAAGGCGTCAGTAAGCAGACGGCCGCGTCCCGGGGCTCAGTCTATGTTCAGTCGAGCAATTAGCGTAATCGTGCGAACTGCACCATGAACTCAATTAATTTATTAAATTATCTTCAATTGTCGATTTAAACAAACCAAAGAAAACATCAAAGGCCGGATCGGCCGACCCTCGGCTTCACTATTATTATTATATCACGGCTCCGCAAAACGACTCATTACAAAATAATCGACAGTTTAATATTCGCTATCAACTCTAAGGTATATTCTACATTTTAGAAGAGAATTATGTTTTGCGGTTTATGAGGGAATACCTAGCCACACTTTTTACTTTGTAGTGTAGTAACAATAACAAATATGAAAAAGTTTTTCTTCCTAGCGATAAAAATAACCGAATGCTGTACATATAACACAAAGTAGGTATGAAGCGAAACGCAATGCTTGAATCTCTCCATGTGCTTGGCATTAGCCAAATGTGCATTGGGCTATCGATAGATGTCATGAAACGTCCTATAAGGAGGATGATGAAGGATTAATGGTGGCCCGGAGGCCCTTCCAGTTTCACCAGAACAGGTGGACGAGCAAAGTCTCAGCCAAGAGGGGTGGAATTTGCTAACAGCTGTCAGAGCGACTCTGAAGGAGATCTAAGAACTCGAGAGCAGCTGCTTCGCAAATGAATCTACTACCGAACCGTCGAGTTCGATGAGTATGGTTACCGGGGTCCCTAGGCCTGCTTCTAGTGTTAGAGTTGAAGGCGTCTAAGGCAAAGGCTATTGGATCTGATGGATCCGTAAGGATGTGTCTAGGGTGTCGACGGTGACTGGCTCCTGATTTGGGGAGTAGGCAACAATAAGGCGATTATCATGACGCATAACTTATTGAAGTACCATTCCGACGCTGACTTCCTGTATTTCCGGATTATCGTCGTGTAGGTCAACGTTCATCACGAACCACGGAGCTCCGACGGCTAACCTGCAAAAGCGGGGTTGTAGAGATTGGAGACTGTCTATGTGTGTGCGGGCCGCGACAGCGAACAGCACACTCGCCGTAAGTCATGACGGGCCTTTTGCAAGTTTTGTAAAGCGTCACTTTGTTCCGAAGGAATATTTTACTCTACTTACAGATCATGGGGTAGAGTCTACCGAGAATAAACGCAGCACGGTCGCGGACTGATTTTATATGCAGGCGGAATATCATGGAAGCATCCAGGGTGACTCCCAGGCACTTAACCTTTCTGACCCAGGGTTTGGGTTGACTAAAGAGGATAGTCGGGGGTGTGAGATTCCTCCTCCTAATCCAGAAGGAAATCCGTGTGGAATTTGCCCTTTGAAATAGCACTGCAGTACTATTGGCTGGGTTGATGTGTGTGCGCCATTTTCGGAACCACTGTCCGAGGACAATGGCTGCGCTCTAAAGTTTCCTCGCGATTAGGGACTTCCTTCTACTCGAAGAGTAAACAGTCGTGTCGTCGGCGAATAAAGCTAACTGGGTCGGCGGTGACCGGGGAATATCGGTTACGAATAAACTAAATAGGAGGGGTGAGGGGACAGAGCCTTGCGGGACTCCAGCCGTAAGAGGTCGCGGGGAGGAGCGAGTTCCTTCAGCTCGATATCGAAAAGAGCGGTTCGACAAGAAGTCCCGTATGATGAGCACGAGACTGTCTGGCACGCCTATGTTGAAAAGCTTGAAAATCAAACCGTGGTACCAGACTTTGTCAAACGCTTTTGCGACGTCGAAGAAGAGAGCTCCCCATGCTACCTGCTGGCTCCAGATCAAGTCGTCCTTGCAATGTAAGTTGGCAAAACGTTGTCCCAATTTCAATACAGTTACATTACATTAAGCTACCACATATTTCCTGGAAGGCTATGTTTGACTTTTGCGAGTGTGCCATCTCGTGGTAGGAGGTGGCGGGGCGAGTGAGACAAAGCTCTCCTTGGCTTAGAAATCCACCGCCGCCAAGCAGGGGGTCGGGACCGAGGTCTCATGCGAAATCCGGCCGACCCCCTAAGAGATTCGGGCTCCACCCGCTTTCCGCGGGGAGGGACTCAGGCGTGGAATGGCGTGCTTTACACGCTCGCTCGTAGTCGCGGGGCTATCAAAGTGGGCTCCCGGCCCATCATACGAGGGAACCGGTGATCGTGCCGCGGGTGGTCGCCGATCTATTGTCTGGGGGACGGCGGGATGGATGTAATATGCTCTGCGTCGACCCTGTCCCGCCGTCTCAATAACCCGACGGAGCTCTGGCCCAGTCTGCGGCTGGACGCCGGCTGTGAGCGGCAGGAGTTTTTAATGAGGTTTAACTTCCACATATTCCACCCGCCGCGCGGCTGGGGATCCGGTGATTTTCTACTGCGGAAAAAAAAACTGTCGGCCATGTTGTTTACATCTATAGAACTGTTATAGTTCCTTATGGAGGAACGAGATAGACCCTCAGGACTGCGTATGCGTATGACGTACAGTTATGTGTACTACAAGAACCAAGAAATCGTATATCTATCGATCATCACGAAGACTTAGATTTAGTAGCGATTTGTAGGTATATGTCTTCAAGAAGGGTTAGAACGCTACTTTAATCGGTGCGAGATGATACCCTCTTATCGCAGCCGCCACTAATTACATTACTAACCCAGGCGACGAGGTAAAGCAAAGCTACAATGGTAGCTTTAAGTTAATTTTACCTAATGTCAGTTAAGTAAATAGTAGTACTTCTCAATAACCCCGACTGGACTCCGGCCCATCTAGGGTAGGGCGCTGGCTGTGAACGGCAGGACTTTTTAGTAAGGTTCAACTCCCACATACTTCACCTGCCGCGCGGTTGGGGATCTGGCGATTTTCTCCTGTGGGAAAATAAATAAAAAAGTAAATAGTAGTACTGCGCGGATATATATTTATTTATTGTATCTTATTTATTCTTGATAACCCAACCAGTACAATGTGATGCTACTTGTGTGAACCGCCTTTAAAAGTATACGGCGGGTTTGTGGTATATAATTAAGTTGAATCCAAGCCAGACATTATCACCGCACGTGGAGCTCCGACGTCCGAGCTGAGAAGCCGCGGCGAGTATTCGCTTCGTTTGAGCTCCGACACTCTACGTAGAGACTGGCAATATGATATTCGTCGACGATGCTGTCATGTCAGTTCTAAAGTACAATATCATTATTTGAGTATTCAGATTCTTGGGATCGTTTCGAACAATGCCTAATAGTGGAGTCATTTGGAGGGTAAAGCCAAGCTAGCGACAAAAAGGCTGGGAGCCGTCAACAGAGCAAAGCGGCTCTACCTAACTTACTGGGGTGTACTACTCCCAACTCTGGACCGGGGTTCTTCAAAACTTGGTACTTTCATTAGACTCCGCAGAGAAGAAGGTCGTTCGGATTGTCCAAAAGTCCATTCTTAGGTATCGTTTCGAAACTCTGGGTCTACTGTATATTCCATGGAGAGTGCTCTAAGAAATTGTTTGAGATGATCCTATCATCTTGCTTTTACCATCACACCGCCGACTACCGGAGCAGAGTTCATCCTTACTACCTACAGCTATTGCGTTCATCCACAGTGCGTTTCCAGAGATATTTTTTGCCACGTACCATCCGACTGTTGAATGAACTTCCCACCACTGTGCTTTCCGAGCTTTGTCACATGTCTTTCTTTAAACCAGGTTTGCGGGGAATACTCAGCGGTAGGCAGCCGCTGAGCTGAGACTCTGGCATTGCTGACGCCATTAGCGATGGTAACCGCTCACCACTTGTACATGGAGCGAAAGTTCGTCTAAATACAAAGAATAACAAAGAATGAGGAATGAATAATGTACAAAGCACTGTTACAGCGGTATCAAGGACCCGCGCGAGTACCGACACCTGCGGGTGCTGCGGACCTCGCTGAGGTTGCTGGGCGCCTGGCCCGGACACTACCTGGGCGAGGAGACCGGCTCCAAGTACGAGTGCGCGCCCATGTTCCTGCTCATGTTCATCAAGATCGCCTGTCTGTACCTCACCATTGTGTACCTCAGGAACAACGCAGATGTCCTGGGCTTCTTCGAGCTCGGTCATGTCTATCTCACCATATTCATGACTTTTGTGACGCTGGTGATTATTTTTGTTTTTTTATGTAGCGTAGAAACGAGTACGATTATCGGCCATACGGCCCACCCTGAGTCGTGCGACTCCGACGGCGCCGCGGCGGCTCGGTGGCTCGGCCCGCTCGAGACTGACCCTTTTTTGACCCTCTCAGTGGATTATTTTACGTTGCTTTTTTAAGTTGAAACCTTGCTGTCTTGATATTGTAATTTGAATGATATTCTATGTTTAATTAACTGTATTAAAAGTACATACAAATACACACCAAATATTATTCGAAACCATAGTTAACATGGCACACGCCACATCATCGGTTCTATGGGCGCCAGTAAGGGTACATGTTAAAAGCGTTTAAAAAAAAACTGTTCAAATAATTATGTAATGTTTTAAAAGCTAATTCATAAGATAATTTAGTGTATCCTCTAGGAGCAGTGCTGCCTCGTCCAGCTCAGTGAAACCGCACCCCAACCACCAAAATATTTTACAGTCCGTTTGGAGTCGCGCAGGCACTTCGCTCCTCCAGTTGTTTCGTACCGAAGGCTTCATGAAGAGAACTGTATGCGTCATACGGTGTGAAGTAGTCAGTTACCGGAACCCATTTATATCACGGCCCATATATACATGGCCACATTTAAACATGAGATCGAAGTCTCAATTTTATTAGTATCGGTTATCCCCGCCCTC